GCCGGGTGGTTCAGAGATACCTGGCTTTTGATCAGCATGTCGTCGACGTATGCCTCCATGGTCTTTCCCAGTAGTGGCTTGAAGAGCTTGTTCACCATGCGCTGGTAGGTTGCCCCCGAGTTCTTCAAGCCAAACGCCATTACCCGGTAGCAGTAGGTTCCTTCGGGTGTGAGGAATGACGTCTTCTCTTCATCTTCCTTGGCCATGTAGATTTGGTGGTAACCCTTGAAGGCATCCATGAAACTTAAGAGTTCGCACCCCGCAGTTTCGTCCACCATTTGATCCGGACTGGGGAGGGGGTATGAATCCATCGGACAAGCCTTGTTCAAGTCCGTATAATCCACACACATTCTCCACGTGTCGCCCTTTGGAGCAAGGACGACGTTGGCCAGCCAATCCGAGTACTTGACTTCCCGGATGTGACCAACACTGAGGAGGTCTTTCACTTCCTTCTTGACGAAGTCTCGCCGGTCACTGGCCAGGTACCGCTTCTTTTGGCGTACCGGTCGACTTCTTTCCCTCACGGCCAACCGGTGGCAGATAACAGAGCGATCTATCCCGGGCATATCCGCCACGCTCCATGCGAATATGCCCGCGTATTCTTGGAGGACCCGTGTAATCTGCTCCTTGAGATCCTCGGGGAGATTTGCTCCAATTCTGACCATCCTCGAAGAATCACCCAGGTGAAGTTCGATTTCCACCGTCTCAGCCTCAGGCTCCAGTTTCTCCCGGGTCTCTCCCTTTGTGATCTCTTGGGAGATGACATTGACCCCCTTGGTCATCTTCTTGACTGCCCGGGCATAGCACTCCCGGGCGTTCCTCTGGTCGCCCTTCACCTCACCCACACCACCTGGAGTGTGGAACTTCATGCATAGATGAGGCATGGAAATCACCGCCCCGACTTTATTGATGCATGGCCTTCCAAGAATTGCATTGTGGACGCATTTGATGTCCACAACTATGAACCGCATCTTCTTCCACACGGTCTTTTCACCTGATCCTAGTTCGACCGATAGAACTATGGATCCTTCAGCTTCAACGGTGTCCCCCGTGAAGCCTGAGAGAGGGGTTTTGAGGGGTTCAAGTTGTGTTCGACACAACCTGAGTTTCTGGAAGGTCGCCAGGTATAAGATGTTGACACTGCTACCGGTGTCAACAAGTACCCGGGCGACATCCACCCCATTAATGTCCATGGTGATGACCAATGGATCATTGTGATCTTCACCGGTAGGAGGGAGATCCCGGTCAGTAAAGACGATAGGCTCCCTCCTAGTATGCTTACGCCTGGGCGGTTCATCACTTACCTCTCCAACGTAAATGCTCCGGACCCAGTTCTTCCGCTGCGCGGCTGAATCTCCACCCTCGGGTCCGCCGAAGATCATGCCGATGTGTTCCTTTTCGGGGGCAGGTTGCCGCTCCCTTGGCCGGTTATTCCTCCGTCGGTCGTTGTCCCGGTCATTCCCTGGGGCAGTTGGCCTAACCCATTGATGACTCTTCTCCTGGGCTTTCTGCAAGTAATCTTTGCCCAGCTCTCCACTGTCGATCATCTACCGGATTACTCCCTTAACACTTTTGCATTCGAAGGTGTTATGGGAATCTGACCTGTGGTACGAACAATAGGTGCCTGACCACTGCCGCCCTACTTGACCGGTAGGGTTTTCTGGAGGAATGACCGGTGCTTTCCGGACTTCTTGGCATTCCTCTGTATTGACCACTCGGATGACCGGGTCATAGTGGTGCCTCGGCCGGCTAGGTCCCGGTGCTTCTTCCTTCTTGACTTGCACCGGATTGGACTTGTGACCATGCTCAGCTTCCCTCTTTGCCCGGAGTTGAGTTTCAGCCTCAGCAAACTCCCACGCAGTATGGTAGGCTTCTTGGTACGTGGCTGGGGGTTTCCGGCAGAACTCCTTGTATAGTTCCCCAGCACGTAAGCCATTCAAGAGGAGGGATAGGACGGTCTTGTCATCCATCTCTTCCACCTTGTCCACCTCTTCCTTCCACCGGGTAAGGAATTGAGTGAGGTTCTCAGACTCCCTCTGCCCGGCTGTACTAAGATAGGTGAACTTCTTCCTCTTAGTACAATTCTCCTAGAACTTGGCCTTGAACTTTGAGGCCAAATCACTGAACGAGTCAATACTTCCCGGGCGAAGCTTATTGAACCATTCAGTGGCTCGGTTCCGCAAGGTCTGGAAGAAAAGTAGGCACTTTTCTTCATCGGTGCAACTGTTCATGGTCGCACTCTGGTTGAAGGAGTCCAGGTGGATTTCCGGGTCTTCCTTCCCGGTGAATCTGGGGGCGTCGATCTTGACCTTTCGCGGGAAAGGTGTCAGATGGACCCTTGTGGTGAACGGGGACCCTGCCAGGGGTTTGTCCCGGTCATTCTTCTCTCCGACCTTCTTTTCCAGCCTTTCCAGCTTTGCCTCCATCTGCTGGACGCGGTCGTTTGGGATGGTTAACCGGTTC